TGGGCTAAGATGACCAGTCTTGGACTAAGATGACCAATCTTGGACTAAGATGACCAGTCTTGGACTAAGATGACCAGTCATCGACTAAGATGACCAGTCATGGACTAAGATTATCAGTACGGGCTAAGATGACCAGTCTTGGACTAAGATGACCAATCTTGGACTAAGATGACCAGTCATGTACTAAGATGACCAGTCATCGACTAAGATGACCAGTCTTGGACTAAGATGACCATTACGGGCTAAGATGACCAGTCATGGACTAAGATGACCATTACGGACTAAGATGACCAGTCATGGACTAAGATGACCAGTCATGGACTAAGATGACCAGTCTTGGACTAAGATGACCAGTCGTGGACTAAGATGACCAGTCGTTGACTAAGATGACCAGTCGTGGACTAAGATGACCAGTCGTGGCCTAAGATGACCAGTCTTGGACTAAGATGACCAGTCATGGACTTAGATGACCAGTCATGGACTAAGGTGACCAGTCATGGACTAAGATGACCAGTCATGGACTAAGATGACCATTACGGGCTAAGATGACCAGTCTTGGACTAAGATGACCAGTCGTGGACTAAGATGATCAGTCGTGGACTAAGATGACCAGTCGTGGACTACGATGACCAGAACAGGGGAAGGGAGGACCGGAATACCAATGAGCAGCAAGTTGTATCTTTAGCTGGCAGTCCCGGCACGGATCTCAGACTTCAGGCAGAAGTATCTCCATTAGCCGGTGGAGGTTCCGGTGTCTTCTCCATTGTCCCCAGTGAATCCGTGGAGATAATCAGGTCAACATGGACGAGGTCCCCCTTCATCTTCAGGAGAGATCCAGTAGCTCATGGCCGTGTTCACACTACGAGACGTTCTTTGAGGCTGCAGTTCCTCTGAGCTCCACAAGGTGGTGATCTCACCTAGACACAGACAGGAAGTCTCTATGACAGGAAGTGATGTCACATATAAATAGTAAGTTGGGAGGAAGTAGAGAGGAGACATTGCTGAAACTGGATCACTCCAGCGACGCGCTGACATTTTTTGAGGGGGGGGCCAGTAGCCCCCTATCTTAATTTTGGTTTCCCCCGTCTGCCTGACATCTCGCGTCCGGGTTTCTGCTGCCATGAAAGCCGGACACATCAGTCAAAACCCGGACTGGACGGGTGGCAATCCTACCCCCATGTCCATCGTCATTCTCCGATGCCTAAAGAGGTAAGAGGGTCACCAAACCCCAAAAACATTCCCTCCCCCACCATGATCAGGTGGGACGGAGCATCTAGAACATGAAAGAGACTCCTGGAGACCATAGGTGGATATTATAAGATAGTTATGTTCATTTCCTTGGTTTAGGGTGAAGATCTGATGAAGATGAAAGTTGAGGGTGAAGTAGAAGAGACGTATGTGAGGGATGATCAGCGATATACGGAGGAGGCCGGGATGATGAGGACAACCAGAGAGGAGGACACGCCTACAGAGATCAGCACAGGTGACCCACAATATATTCTTCAGGTTGAGGTGAACCGCTCATGTCCACCAATAATCTCTTTCTATTTGTAGTCCACGGACGGGACGTCGGGAAGATCTCGGAGGAACGTCTCACGTTGCCTCCAGGAGAGGAGGACATCACGCAGCATTGTCCAGGAGAAGACCCAAGCACCCCGAATATGCAATCGTTGCCACACACTGACAAATGTGTTCTTGAAAAGCCATATTTGTGTCTGGAGTGTGGGAAAAGTTTTGGCAGTACATATGATCTGACGGTGCACGAGAAATCTCACGGGGACAAAAGGCGCCATTCCTCTTCAGAGTGCGGGAAAAGTTTTCTGCGAGAGGCGAAACTCAGAGCATCAAAAGTTACACACGGCGGAGAAGCCGTTTAATTGCCCCGTGTGTGGGAAAAGTTATACACGTAAACACGGACTTGTTCAACATCAGAAAACCCACACGGGGGAGAAGCCGTATGCATGCTCTGTGTGTGGGAAAGGCTTTCTGCGGAAGGCGACTCTCAGAGAGCACGAAATGTTACACACGGGTGAGAAGCCGCATTTTTGCTTCGTGTGTGGGAAAGGCTTTGCACATAAAAACGTACTTGTTAGACATCAGAAGTCTCACACAGAGGAGAAGCCTTATTCGTGCTCTCAGTGCAGCAAATCTTTCTCACTAAAGGTTCATCTCACTAGACATCAGAGGTACCACAAAAGCGAGAGGCCGTATTCCTGTTCCGGGTGTGGGAAAGGTTTTGCATGTGTCCAAGATTTTAGAAGACACCAGAGATATCACACAGGGGAGCATTCCTGCCCTGTGTGCGGGAAATGTTATCCACAGAAGTCAAAACTTGTTATACATCAGAGATCTCACACAGGGGAGAAGCCGTATTCCTGTCAGGAGTGTGGGAAAAGTTACCTGAACAAATCAAATCTTACCATACATCAAAAACTGCACACAGGTGAGAAGCTGCATTCGTGCTCCATGTGTGGGAAAAGTTATCCACAGGAGTCAGAACTTGTTGTACATCAGAGATCTCACACAGGGGAGAAGCCATATTCCTGTCCCGAGTGTGGGAAAAGTTACCTGAACAAATCAAATCTCACCATACATCAAAAGCTGCACGCAGGTGAGAAGCTGCATTCGTGCTCCATGTGTGGGAAAAGTTATCCACAGGAGTCAGAACTTGTTGTACATCAGAGATCTCACACAGGGGAGAAGCCGTATTCCTGTCCCGAGTGTGGAAAAAGTTACCCGAATAAAGGAAGTCTTAAAAAACATCAGAGGCTGCATAGCGGCGAGAAGCCCTATTCCTGTCTTGAGTGTGGGAAATGTTTTACGCAGAAGACGCATCTCATCACCCATCAAATATGTCACACCGGCAAGAAGCCATATGCCTGCGCCGAGTGCGGGAAAGGCTTTCGGAGAAAATCCCAGCTCATTAGAGATCAGATCTTCCATGTGTTTGTCAAACGGGAATCCTATCCCTAGTGCAGTAAATGCTTTGTGTCTCAGTCTCACTTCACCTTGCATAAATGGTCTCCCGCATAATTGTGATCTCAGAGTTGCTTCAAAGCAGGAGGTCAGACAATGTTTACATACAAAAAATTAATAAATGTCTTCAGATTTGTTTATTGAATGTTCTTCTTGATACTTCGTCTTTTCTGACCCCACATGGTGGCCTCCTGGGTTTCTCTCGAAGGGTGGGGTTTAGTCCTCCTCCATTCCAGTGACGTCCTCATTCTCCTGTGGGCCGCTGGATCTTATTTAGAAAAGTTGGGAGGCCCCGCCTGTGGGGGTTGCTCTTCATCAGGCTTCTCTGGTGGGTGTATTTCTCTTTTTCCAACTCTAGATGGCAGCAGTGCACCACAAATGCCATCCATGGTCAGTTCATGGCATAAGGTGGAGCGATCGTGGCCCCGGCATTGGGGGAGGAGACAAAAGCTTCTCCCGAAACAATATCCCGATGAGGAAAGCGAGCTACAAACAATGGAAACAATCGCACATGTGACTGTTGTGACCAGTATGGGCTAAGAGGGACCAGCACGGGCTAAGGAAGACCAGCACGGGTTAAGGAAGACCAGCACGGGCTAAGGAGGACCAGCACGGGCTAAGGAGGACCAGCACGGGCTAAGGAGGACCAGCACGGGCTAAGGAGGACCAGCACGGGCTAAGGAAGACCAGCACGGGCTAAAGAAGACCAGCACGCGCTAAGGAGGACCAGCACGGGCTAAAGAAGACCATCACGGGCTAAGGAGGACCAGCACGGGCTAAAGAAGACCAGCACGCGCTAAGGAGGACCAGCACGGGCTAAGGAAGACCAGCACGCGCTAAGGGGGACCAGCATGGGCTAAAGAAGACCAGCACGCGCTAAGGAGGACCAGCACGGGCTAAGGAGGATCAGCACGGGCTAAGGAAGACCAGCACGAGCTAAGGAAGACCAGCACGGGCTAAGGAGGACCAGCACGTGCTAAGGAAGACCAGCACGGGCTATGGAAGACCAGCACGGGCTAAGGAGGACCAGCACGGGCTAAGGAAGACCAGCACGGGCTAAGGAGGACCAGCACGGGCTAAGGAAGACCAGCACGGGCTAAGGAGGACCAGCACGGGCTAAGGAGGACCAGCACGGGCTAAGGAGGACCAGCACGGGCTAAGGAGGACCACCATGGGCTAAGGAGGACCAGCACGGGCTATGGAAGACCAGCAAGGGCTATGGAAGACCAGCACGGGCTAAGGAAGACCAGCACGGGCTAAGGAGGACCAGAACAGGGGAAGGGAGGACCGGAATACCAAACTGCAGCAAGTTGTATCTTTAGCTGGCAGTCCCGGCCTCAGACTTCAGGCAGAAGTATCTCCATTTCCAAGTGGTGACTGCAGCTTTGAGCGGTGGAGGTTCCGGTGTTACCCCATTGTTCCCAGTGAATCCGTGGAGGTAAATCAGGTCAACATGGAGAAGGGGGACCTACTCAATATTAGGGGGGTCATCCAGATACCACAGCACACCTTCAGAGGTCTAGTGGAGTCCATGCCTGGATGGGTCAGGACGAGGGGGACCTACTCAATATTAGGCGGGTCATCCAGATACCACAGCACACCTTCAGAGGTCTAGTGGAGTCCATGGCTGGACGGGTCAGGAGAAGGGGGACCTACTCAATATTAGGGGGGTGGTGAGAATGTTATGGCTGATCGGTGTACACAGAGCAGCACAAGGCCGTGTTCACACTACAGAGGTTTCTCGGGGCTGCAGTTCCTCTGAGCTCCACAAGGTGGTGATCTCACCTATACCCAGACAGGAAGTCTATGAATCTAGGACAGGAAGTGATGTCACATATAAATAGGAAGTTCCAGGTGAGTTGGGAGGAAGTAGAGAGGAGACATTGCTGGAACTGGCAGCAGAGGAGGTAATAAGATATTATTTTATAGTAACCCCCCCCCCATCATGCCATGTAGGGTCGCCGCCTTGTCTTCAAGCGAAACCCGAACACTCTAGCGACGCGCTGACAATTTTTGGTAGAACGAGTCGCGGCTTTTCATATGTAAATATCACAGTTGAGACTATTTTCAGTGGGGGGTCCAGTAGCCCCTATCTTAATTTTGGTTGCCCCGGTCTCCCTGACATCGCGTTTCCGGGTTTCTGCTGTAATGAAACCCGGACATATCAGTCAAAACCCGGACTGTCCGGGTGAATCCTGGACCGGTGGCAACCCTACCTCCATGTCCATCGTCATTCTCCGATGCCTAAAAAGGTAAGAGGGTCCCCGAACCCCAAAAATGAGAGGTGAGGAAGGTTCTGGGAGGTCACATGACCTGACCGGAGAGGTGAGGAGGATTCTGGGAGGTCACATGACATATTTTCTCTTTCGTTACAGCATTATCCACTTGTGAAGTCTGCTGACCAGGTGACCATTATGGTGCCTCCACCTCACACCCTAAATCCCGAGAGACCCGACATGGAGAAGATTCTAGAAGCCACCAAGAAGATGATGGAGCTGCTGACGGGAGAGGTGAGCGGTGCCGGGGATTCTGGGACATGATCCAGGAACAGACAAGGGGCGTGTCTGGGTGGTGACGGGAGAGGTGAGCGGTGCCGGGAATTCTGGGACATGATCCAGGAACAGACAAGGGGCGTGTCTGGGTGGTGACGGTATCATTGTGTGTGTCAGGTTCCTATAAGGTGTCAGGATGTCTCTGTCTATTTCTCCATGGAGGAGTGGGAGTATCTAGAAGGACACCGGGATCTCTACAAGGACGTGGTGATGGAGAATGCCCCGCCCCTCACATCACCGGGTAAGAGGAGAGAGCAGTACGGAGGCTCCGCCTACATCCCCCATCATCTGATACACACATAGAAACAATGTATTCAGTCAGTGTGTGTGTGTTTCCTACAGATGGATCCAGTAAGAGGAACCCACCAGAGAGATGTCCCCGCCCCCTGTATTCCCGGGACTCCACCCAGGAAGATCTCACCATCCCCCACCATGAGAGATGTCCCCGCCCCCTGTATTCCCGGGACTCCACCCAGGAAGATCTCACCCTCCCCCACCATGATCAGGTAGATGATGAACAATCTCTGGTAGTTATGATTTATACCGAACCATCTTTGTTCCAATGAATGTTTTATTTTATCTTCAGAGTGGAATCCTCGGGGAGAATATTGAAGAGTTTAAGGAGGAGGAGGATGAGGAGGAGGATGAGGAGGAGGATGAGGAGTACGGAGTGATGACGGAACCTTCTGAAGGACACTCGGAAAGTGGAAACCTCGGGAAAATGAATAGTAAAGAAGAGACCACGCAGCATTGTCCAGGAGGAAACCCGAATGCGGCAAACGAGCATTCCGTGCCACACAGCGAGAACAGGTCACAGAAACGTGTTCTCGGAAATGTCGTTTTTAATACACGCCGGAGATTTCGCGCCGGAAAGAAGTCGCATTTGTGCCTGGAGTGTGGGAAAGGTTTTGGGCACAAATACGATCTGTCGGCGCACGAGAAATCCCACAGGGACAAAAGGCGTCATTCCTGTTCAGAGTGCGGAAAAAGTTTTCTGCGCGAGGCAACTCTGCGGGAGCATCAAAAGCTACACGCGGCCGAGAACACGCATTCTTGCCCCGTGTGTGGGAAATGTTTTACACGTAACACCAGCCTTGTTCAACATCAGAAATCCCACACGGGGGAGAAGCCGTATTCCTGCCCCGAGTGTGGGAAAAGCTTCTCGCAAAAGTTCTCCCTCTCTAGACATCAGAGTTACCACAAAGGGGAAAAGCCGTTTTCCTGTTCCGAGTGCGGGAAAAGCTTTGTACTTGAACAAGATCTAAGTAGGCATCAGAAATGTCACACGGGCGAGAAACCGTATTCGTGCTCCGAGTGCGGGAAATGCTTTTTACAGAAGTACCAGCTCTCCAAACATCTGAAACGCCACAGGGGCGAGAAGCTGTATGTCTGCTCTGAGAACGGGAAACCTTTTTCAGTTGAGCACCATCTTAGTAGTCATCAGGAGTGCGGGGAAAGTTTCACAACAATGTCCCATCTTCACACACATCAGAGAATTTGCACAGGGGAGAAGAAGAAGAAGTCGTATTCCTGCTCTCTGTGTGGAAAATGTTTTGTCAGGAAAGCAAATGTTAATAGACACCAAAGATCTCACACAGGGGAAAAGCCATATCCCTGCCCTGTGTGTGGGAAAAGTTTTTCACAGAAGTGCCATCTTACCACACACCAGAAAGGTCACACCGGCGAGAAGCCGTATTCCTGCTCTGAGTGCGGCCAATGTTTCACACGCAAATCGCTGCTAGACAGACATCGCAGATCCCACACGGGCGAGAAGCCGTTTTCTTGCCCTGAGTGCGGGAAAGGTTTTTCAGATAAGTGGCATCTTACCACACACCAGAAAGGCCACACGGGGGAGAAACCGTATTCTTGCCCCATGTGCGGAAAAGGTTATTCACAGAAGGCAGAACTTGTTATACATCAGAGTTCTCACACTTTTTCACACGATTAGCCGTATTCCTGTTCAGAGAGTGGGAAAAGTTACCAGAAGAAATCAAATCTGATCATACATCAGAGGTTGCATACCGGTGAGGAACTCTATTCCTGTCGAGTGTGGGAAAAGTTTTACGCAGAAATCGCATCAGCCTGCAAATATGTTACACTGGCAAGAAGCCATATTCCTGCTCTGAGTGCGGGAAAGGCTATCTGAAGAAATCCCAACTTATTAGACATCAGATCTGCCATATGGACACTGAAACAAAAACCATAGGCGTCGAACCGTATTCCTGCCCCTAGTGCGGGAACCGCTTTGTGTCGGAGTCACACTTCACCTTGCATAAACGGTCTCACACATAGCTGTGATCTCTGACTCCAGCCAACATATTGGCGTTCACAATCTTCTAGGACGGGGGAGGGGCAGGTTGAGTCCTTTCTGCAGTGTAGCCTGATCACCCCTGCTCTTCAGGCACAAGCTTTTTGTTCTCAGCCCTCGCTCGCTTCCAAACAGAACTCTAGGCCAAGAGCGGAGGAGATCAGACCACGGGGCAGAGGAAGTTAGGCCATAGGGCAGAAGAGGTCAGGGCTGGGGAGGTCAATCCACACGGCGGGGGAGGTCAGGCCAAACGGCGGGGGAGGTCATTCCACACGGCTGGGGAGGTCAGTCCACACGGCGGGGGAGGTCAGGCCACAGGGC